GTCGTCACTACAGTTGGCAGCGCGAACTTGGGACCTTGCAAAGCTGGCGGCCTCATCTCTAAGCGCGTGGATCGCAATTAGGACCTGCTGATCCGGGGATACCTGTTGCAGATGCACATAAGTCTTAAYATTGGCCTCCCAATTGTCAAAGTTCTCTTCCCTTTTCCCACTTTAGGAATCAGGGAATTTGACTTTGACCGGCTCCCTGCGAGGACGAGCCTCCTCCTCCTTGGGAGCGGCTACCTTGACGCCCTCAATGGYGCCGRCACAAAARYGCTCAGTCTTCTCGAGGCGGTGAGTCACCTCGGACCCCACWRCGCCTACTAACTCGCGAGCAAAGTYTCGTAAGCCCGTTCGCATCRAGCGTACAGATATCTCCTGGCTGCGACTAAACTCAAAGTGCCTTTCTTGCACTTTAGCTAACCGCTCAACGCTCTGGGCGRYGATCTCCACTTTACGTTGGAGATCCATTTGCGGAATCAATTGTGTTGTTACGGCAGCCCTCACCTCCTCCAGKTCCTGCATTGCCRCATTCGTCGCCTCCACTCTTCTCTTCTTCTCCCTCATCACTGCGAGTTTCCACTCCATCCTTTGTTCATCCTCCATCGCYCGCCGSGTCASAACAWCTTCYTCTRCTTCCCATTTCTTCATGGCRGCTTCTTGCTYATCCTTGGGGATGTACATAGCAACCTCTTCCTCCTCACCCAGGGATAAGTTGGCGACCCACTYCRAAATCTTYTTTTCCATCTCATCASTRYTGCGGCCGCTRTGCTGCCCACTCCTTTGMAGTGGCGGTCCCTCCTCCTCTTCATCCACCTCYTTCAGCTTCTCCTCTTCTTCCTTTATCAGCCTCTCCTTCTCCMGGGCCATYTCTTCCTCCATCTTCTTCAGTTTGGCCGCCTGTTCTTCTTTCAAGGCCTTCTTCTTGGCCTCCTTCTTCTCCTTCCTCTCCYGCAGGATGGCGGCCATCTTCTCCTCCTCCTCCTTCGTGTATGGTCRGGTGGCGGTACCACCTCGAGTGGGCCCTACTTTAYRCGCAAAGGTATGCCAAAATCCCAGAGGAAAGAGGAGACGCCAGAGGGTCCCCCAGAGGGAGAACCCAACCAGCAACCCATACATCGGGTAGTCGTCCATCGTGGTGTTGGTGCATGACAAGGGTCCCACTCCTCACCACGTAGCCCTCCCCGGACACACTAACCGACTGACTGACTTCCTAAGGACCACATGATAAGACCCTGTCAACTATGGCCACTACTAACCCAAGACTACTCTAAGATTGTCACTACAGAACCAAGAGCTGATCAGGAGGCATTTAAGGAGATCCCCCAAACTCCGCAAAAATTCTTTAACGTCGCAGACAGGATGACGCGATCAGCTTGGTTCCTCTGGCGATTTCAGCCCGCAACTCAGCCGTTCCGGCCTACTGTGCCACACCGAGCAGCCCGCCGGTCTGTACCGGTCCTTGGAGGGGTTCGTATCCCTCGGGACAGTCGAGTCGTCAGACACAGATCATCAGCCTTACTAGGTCCGGTAGGGGAGTGGCTTAACCAGGCCTCAATACTTAAAGACGGCCCTCGTTTCAGCCTAGAACCCGGAGTTCAGACCCTCTACACCAAACTCAGTAGACCTGCCGGACAGTACTGGTCATTGGGCTAGACGAGTTGTTTAACGAGCGTTCGCCGCTCATGCCCAAGTCTCCAAGTGCCAGCGTAGAGCTTTGGTCCTACTAAGCCCGTGCAGGTTTGGCAGCAAGGCCCTAACCTTCATCCACAGATTCCTAACACCTAGGATAGAAGGGACTCAATGCAGAAAGAGTAGACAGATAGACTCAGCAAGTACCGTGGGGTAAGTGCACATCCACAGGGTAAGGGGATAGGCTGAAGGGTCAACGAGATATCACCAACTCCAGCTTGGTCAAAATCTTGGGCAGCAGCTCCGGTCAACGCCTTGGTCAACGCCGAGTCAATGCGGTCTATCCCGATCAGAGCTTTGTCAACACCCCTAGTCAACGCCTGGTCAAACCCTCGGGTCAACCCTCGGTCAACCCTCTGGTCAACGCCCGGTCAACCCCTCACCTCGGCTGTGGCTGCCGGCACCTTCAACTTCGTCACCCTCGCCGTCTACTTCCCCCTTCCTTCACTTTCTTTGTCTCTCTCTTTTTTTTTCTTTTTTTTTTTATACACACCCCCGGCTATGTCTGCCTTCTTCTTCGATCTCCTCCTTCCACACCTCTTCTTCTCTCTCCTCAGTCCCTCCTTCTCTGTGCTCCGTTTCTCTCTCTCTCTTCCGCCGTAGCGGTATCTTCAGCGCAGCAGGTGAGTAACCAATCTTGTATCACTCATGTCTCTCTCTCTCTCACTCTCTCTCTCTCTTCGTAGTGGTCTTCTTGTTGCAGGTGCGCGGCGTCCTATTCCACCTCGAGGTCCGCTATGGCGGACTGCCTCCTCCGGCGGTCACTTCAGCTATGGCGCCTGCGCACGACGGCGCGTGGAACAGCGGGTACCTGCTCCAATACCAGTGCAATCAGACCCGACTTCTTCACACTTCATCACGCTTGCAAACAACGATACAGCAAACTGGCGACATGCGCCCACACAGTACTCAAGGATATCATAACCAGATACGAGTTCTCTTCCAACTGGCTATGGCGACTGTGCGCCCATACAACTCACTGTTCACACTCGAGATCACCCTGGATGTCCCACACGCACACTCAGT